GGATACATTTGGAATTTTGAAATGGATGTATCTAATAGGCAGTTGGATACATGTGGATATAGAGCAAGAAAAAGATCTGAGCTAGAGAGATTTGGAATGTATCACTATGTAAATGGTCTTTGAAGTCATGGACATGTACCATATTTTCAAGGCTTTGAGTATGGAGTATAAGAGAAAAGGAATGAGAATAACATTCCAAAAGGAGGGTAAGGAGAAAGAGATACACATAGATACCAAGAAGGAGCAGACAAATAGGAAGAACATTCATGTAAACCAGAAGATAATTCACTGTGGTTTGATGAACACATTGTGAACATATCAACCACAAACTATTTTTAAGAGCTTTACTAAGATATAATTGACATACCATACAATTCACCCATTTAATAGTATACAATTCAGGGACTTCCCTGGCGGTCCAGTGGTTAAGAATCTGTTTCCACTGCAGGGGCCGCAGGTTCGATCCTTGGGGAACTATAGGATCCCTCGTGCTGTGTGGCCAAATAAATAAATATACAATTCAGGTTTTATTTAGTATATTCTCAGGGTTGTGCAACCACCACCACAATCTAATTTTAGAACATCTTTTCTTTCCTGAAAGGAATACCATGCCCATTAGTTGTTACCCCGCACCTCCCTCATACCTCTCCCAGACCTAAACAACCAACAGTCTGAGTATTTCATTTAAATGGTATCATACACCACGTGTTATTTTGTGGCTGGCTTCTTTCACTTAGCATAAATTTTCAAGGGTCATACATGTTGTAGCATGTATCAGTACCTCATTCCTTTTTGTTGCTGTATCACATTGTATTATATAGATATCCCATGTTTTATTTGTCTATTCATCAGTTGATGGACATTTGGGTTGTTTCCACTTTTTGGCTACTATGAATAAAGCTGCTATGAACATTTGTGTGGAACTGCTATGAACATTTTGTGTGGACATGTCTTCATTACCTAAGTGTGGAATTGTGGGGTCATATGGTAACTATAATGTTTGACTTTTTGAGGAAGTGCCAAACTGTTTTTCAAAGTGACTGCATCATTAACCACAAATTATTTTAAATATTTCTTTAGCTAATACTTTGGATGTGTAATTACTTTTAGGAGATATATGTTTTTATAGCTTACTAAAATAAGGTGAACACTCTTTGTAGAAACCACCGAGGTCATGCAGTAGGACTTTGCCTACCATCTCAAAAGATCCTTCACACACCCCAACTCCATCACAGTCCCTAGCTTCTCTCTAAAAGTAAGCACAATCCTAATAATCATATTATATCTGTATCTCTTCCACATAAAGAATTCTGGTTCTGAAAGATACAGAGGATATTAGAATATCCTATAACTATTCCTTTGCTTTATCTACTTTATACATGCTGAAGTGTTATAATAGTTATACTAGTCATCACTAGTAATTATCACCACCAAGTTATGGTTACTGAAAAGAATTTTTTTCTGCATATATTGTCCCCATCCTCTCCACAATTTTTTTTAATATTTATTTATTTATTTAGGCTGCACCGGGTATTAGTTGCAGCATGTGGGGTCTTCGTTGTGGCATGCAGGATCCTTTGTTGCAGCATGCAGGATCTTTTTTTTAGTTGCAGCATGTGGACTTGTCAGTTACGGCATGCAGGATCTAGTTCCCCAACCAGGGATTGAACCCAGGCCCCCTGCATTGGGAGCGCGGAGTCCTACCCACTGGACCACCAGGGAAGTCCTGTCTCCACAATTTTTGATAATCATATTTTATCTGTATATTTGTGCTTTCTGCTTTCCCTGTTAGATCCTGACTGATATAGGGGTGTACCACATAGGTTTTGAGATATGTCCTAAGAGGGTACTGTAGTGCTTACCACAATCATCTGTGATTTCTCCCAGAGACAGAAAATTACATTGCATGGATTTGTGTGGTCTTATCTGTGTCCTGCCACCCATGTAATGCCTGGAGGTATAAGACAAACCTGTTTTCAGAGATGCAGTTGGAATTAGATGAGGAAAACTTGCAAGGATGTTTTGGAAAATGATATATTAATGAATTGTAACTGTAGGAGAGGAAGTGGTCTTTGGAGTGATATCTAATAAATAAAACTAGACAAAATTTGATAACCAAGGAGGAATTAGAAAATTAAAGTCAAGCAGATGACCGAAAAGCTGAATGTACATTGAAAATCTCCCTTCATTAAAGGGGAGAAAAGGCCCAGTCACGATGAACTGCAAAGAGCAGTACTGTCGTATGACTCATTGCAAATGTTTAAAAAACAACATGGAGGGCTTCCCTGGTGGCGCAGTGGTTGAGAGTCCGCCTGCCAATGCAGGGGACGCGGGTTCGTGCCCCGGTCCGGGAGGATCCCGCATGCCACGGAGCTGCTGGGCCCGTGAGCCATGGCCGCTGAGCCTGCGCGTCTGGAGCCTGTGCTCTGCAAAGGGGGAGGCCACAACAGTGAGAGGCCCGCGTAGCGCAAAAAACAAAACAAAACAAAACAAAAAAACATGGAAATCAAAGCATTGCCCATTAATAGTGCTTCTCATTATATGGCATGGGTTAAATATTCTCTTTGTTGTAATTTTTCTAAAATCTCAACAATATATCATTTTATTTTCATTCATCTCCATCTGTATTGCAGGCGCTGAATAAGTAATAGGAATTAGGGAAGAATGAGGAATAAATACATGAATTTCAAAAAATGTTCCTGGAAATCATCATGCAACTCTGATCTCAGCCTTAAATAAAATAGTGGAATAAATATTTAAAAAGAAAAACTGTGTAAGCCTCTAAAGGATGAAGGAATTCTGACTAATCAACAGCAATGATAAATCATAAATAGTGGACCTTGCCAGATTGGCGTGAGTGGTTTTCTGGGGGGTTTTTGGATTTTAAATTCCAGGAACAAGAGAAGAAGAGAAGTATTAGATATTCTAGATTGGACTATCAGTAAAGCATTTTGAGCTAGCATCTTGTGAAATCTCAATTACGAGATTAATTTATAGTGATTTCCAGGTGAGAGTGGTAACTGGAAACTTTCAAAGGCTTAGAGGAACAAATGAGCAATGACAGGGAATTTTTTAAAACTTTTTTTTTTGTTGTGAAATATTCATAGACATGTATATAATGAAAATGCATTGTTTAAAGAAAACTCTAAAATGAACACCCAGTTCGAGAACTAAAGCATTGCCAGTAACATAGAACCTTACCTTGTATCATTTTCCATCACAACCCCCTTCTACTTCCCCACCCCCAGAGATAACCATTATTCTGACTTTTATGGGAATCATGTCCTTGCTTTTCTTTACAGTGTCACCATCTGCCTATGAATTCTCCAGCAGACGAGTAGCTTTGCCTGTTTTTGAACTTTATATACATGGAATCATACTGGATATATTCTTTTGTATATGGCTTTCTTTGTCCGTGCCATGCGGCTTGTGGGATCTCAGGGATTGAACTCCAGCCACGGCACTGAAAGCACTGAATCCTAACCACTAGACCACCAGGAAACTCCCATGTATCTGGCTTCTTTTTATTCAAAATTATTTTGTTGTTATATATTGTGTGTGTGTATGTCTCATTTTCATTGCTATATGGTATCCCATTTTTGGTATATACCACAATTTATCTATCCCATTTTTGTGTATTAGTTTTGCTGCAGTAAACAACTCTTTAATCTCACTGGCTTACAGTAACAAACATTTGTTTCTTGCTCTTGATACTTGTAAATTGTATCAGCTTTGGTTCTTTTCCATGTGTTTTCTCATTCCAGGACACAGAGTAAAGAAGCAAACTCTGGGACATGACTTTTTGTGGAAGAGGTAGAAGCAATAGCTCTGACAGAAACTCATGGATATAATATATATTATGTCTACTCTGCCCACAGTCTATTGGCCAAAGCATATGTTATGGACAAATCAAAAGCTAATTAGGTGGTATGTATACGCCTCCCCCAGGAGGCATGACAAGTCACATGGTGGGGAAAGACATATAGTTCTTTGAAAAGGAAATGTGGTACAATTCATCACCACTATCAATGTTCCCATATTTGGTTGTCACAAACAGTGTTACTATGAGTTTCCTTGTATATGTAGCCTGGTGCAAATGTGCATGAATTTCTCCAGGAGTGGAATTGCTAGTTATGTGTTTTCAACTTTACTAGGCATGCCTACTGTTTTTCAAAATGGTTTTACATACCTACCAACAGCGTACAAGAGTTCCAAATGTGCCACATCCTTACTGACTCTAGGTAGAAGTTTTTGAATTTTAGGTAACATAATATGGAAAGTAAATGGTTATAGCTCATTGTGGCTTTAATTTGCATTTCCCTAAATACTAATGAGATTGAACACTGCTATACATACTAATTGACTAGGAATTTTTTTATGCCTGTTCAGATCTTTTGCCCATTTTTCTCCTACTCTGTTGTTTCCTTTTTCGCTTATCAATGTATCCTTTGATGAACAGAAGTTTTTAACTTTGATGATGTCCAGTATATCACTGTTTTCTTTCAGTTAGTGCTTTTTTGTCTTAAGAACGTTTTTACTCCAACTTTCTGAAGCTATTTCCATTGTTATATCCTTTTGGTTTTGCCACTCACATTTAGGTCTATAATACACCCGGATTCACTTTTTATTTAATTTAATTTTATTATTTTTTTCATAATTAAAAAAATTTATTTATTTTATTTATTTATTTTTGGCTGCTTTGGGTCTTCATTGCTGCGCATGGGCTTTCTCTAGTTGCAGTGAGTGGGGGGCTACTCTTCCTCGTGGTGCTCTGGCTTCTCACTGTGGTGGCTTCTCTTGTTGCGGAGCACGGGCTCTAGGTGCGTGGGCTTCAGTAGTTGTAGCATGCAGGCTCAGTAGTTGTGGCTTGCAGGCTCTAGAGCGCAGGCTCAGTAGTTGTGGCGCACGGGCTTAGTTGCTCCGCGGCATGTGGGATCTTCCCGGACCAGGGCTTGAACCCGTGTCCCCTGCATTGGCAGGCAGATTCTTAATCACTGTGCCACCAGAGAAGCTCCTGGGATTGACTTTTAAATATAATATGAGGTATGGATCCAATTTTACTGGTTTTTTTAATACAGATTCCTTATTATTTGGCACCATTTATTGGTAAGGCGCATTATTCCCACTATCAGATATCCAGTGTTGATATACTCTGTGCATCCAATGTCAATGTCTGTTGCTGAGTTCCCTCTTCAGTTTATCGGGGATTTGTCTGTCTTATGTCAATAACACACTGTCTTAATTATTATAGCTTTATAATAGATCTTGGTATTTCAAAACAACTCATTCTTGTTCTTCTTCAAAAGAATCTTTGCTCTTTTTGGCCTTTTGTATATCCATAAAAATGTTAAGATTGTAAGTGCCACAAAACTTTTAAGAGTGTTGATTGGGATTGCATTGAATCTACAAATTGCTTTAGGGAGAACTGACTTTGTTACTAAATAATAAATTCTAAACCATGAATTTGGCATACCTCTCTATTTACGTTTTCTTTAACACCTCTCTAAAAAGGTTAATACTTCATCCCATAGAAGCCCTACACATCTTTTGTATCTAGAAGATTGTGTGGCCTATAAGAGGTACTCTGTGAATGTTTGTTGAATCAATGAATAGGTAGATCCACAGAGACAAAAAGTGGATTAGTGTTTGCCAGGGGCTCATGGGGAAGAAGAATCAGAAGTGACTGCTTATGGACACAGGGTTTCTTTTGCGGGTGATGAAAATGTTCAGGATTTAAATAGTGGTGATGATTGCACAACCTTGTGACTATACTAAAACCCATTGAATTATACATTGTAAAAGGGTGAATTTTATATATAAATTATATCTAAAATTTTTAATTTGAGAAGTCAACAATAATATGAGGTATAAAGATGTTTGAGCCCTTTGGTTCTGTAATTCTACTTTAAAAAATCAAATCTAAGCATTTAAACTGAAACGTAGGGCTTCCCTGGTGGCGCAGTGGTTAAGAATCCACCTGCCAATGCAGGGGACACGGGTTTGAGCCCTGGTCCAGGAAAATCCCACATGCCGCGGAGCAACTAAGCCCGTGTGCCACAACTAGTGAGCCTGTGCTCTAGAGCCTGCGAGCCACAACTACTGAGCCCACATGCCACAACTACTGAAGCCAGCGCGCCTAGAGCCCGTGCTCCACAATAAGAGAAGCTACCCCAATGAGAAGCCCGTGCACCGCAACGAAGAGTAGCCCCCGCTGGCTACTAGAGAAAGCCCGCGTGCAGCAATGAAGACCCACCACAGCCAAAAATAAATAAATTAAAATAAATAAATTTTTTTAAAAAACTGAAATGTAGACACATGTGTTAACCACAGCATTATTTTTAATTATGAAAAATTTAGAAATAGCTTAGGCATTATAAGAAGAGTTAAATTAATTATGGTAAATCTACATGATGCATCTGTTAAAAGGCTTATGAAGAATTTTTAATAATGTGGAAAAATACTCATACTACATTATGTTTTAGAAAGCAATAATCAGCATTGCAAATTAAATTTGTTTTTGAAAATCTATAGTAAAACAAGATGGGAAGAAAATGCACCCAAACACTATCAGTGGTCATCTCTGTGTTGTGGGATTATGGCTGATTTTTTTTTTTTTAAGCTCTTTATCCAATTTTCAGTAATGAACACATAGTAATACTTTTTGAATTCGAAAAAGAGCAGTGTGTACTGAAAAAAAAATTCATGTCTCTTGCAGGTAGTGTTAAAACCTGGAAGGAAGTGTATAATGTCAAGTATGTATTCTTAGTTCCCCATTTCATTACATTCTGAGAAGGAATTCTTAAGTCATTGTAGAGAATGTTCCAGAGAGACCTCAGGATTGGAATTGCAGCTGTTCTCTTCTACACTTAGGATGTTTATGATGGCTGATTTGCTAATGTTTTTCAGGCTGGTAAGTCTCTTTATCTGGGTTGAGAGAACTGAGGTAGTTCTTGAGTGAGGGTGATATAGTCGGTTTTCTAAAGTGATTTCCCTGAGGAAGAGGGAGAACTGACAACTCCTACTCAGGTATTCTGTCCTTCAGGAGAACTCTGATGTCCTCCCCCACCACCACCCCAAATTGAGTTAGGAGTGTCACTTAGCTCCCCATGCTTATCACTATCTTTGCACTCACTGCATTGAGTCATACTGATTGGTTTTGGGGTCTGTCTTCCTCAAGCGGCAATCTTTAAGCAAGAACCAGGTCTTGCTCAACTTTGTAGGCCAGTTGTCTGGTACATGGTCAATATTTGATATGTTTGATGAATAAAGAGGGAGCGAATGAATGAATGATGAACAGGTTGTAGGAGATGGCAGGCTGGTACAGTGGAATGGGATTTGATGCTATATCAGAGAGGGGATTTGGCAGGTGGTCACACTGGGGAGTTAAGGGAATGTGTATCAGATTTTAGAGGTGAGACTCTCAGATGGACCAAATGACACAAGGGAAAGCATTCCTTGTGATGACGCCAGCCAAGAGGGAATGACAGGAATTTCTACTGGTGAAAAGATAATTTCTCAAGTCTGTGTTTTTCACAGTCTGTCCCAGCACTGCCAGCATCACAACCACTGTGTGCTGATTTATCATACAGATTTCTGGGCCTCCTGTCAAGCCCTTCCAGTTTTCAGAACTGGGCTTAAGGAATTTGCCTTTGAAAAGCTCCCCAGGGGGTACCCTAAAATGAGGGGGCTCTGGAGTAGGTGATTTAGTGGTAGCATCTGAGCCCCTGTAATAATTTGCTCTGTAAAACTGTGTGTGAAGCCCCTACCCATACAACAAACACTGTGATTTTACCCTCAGAGATTGCTCCTCAGTGAGTTTAGGGTGAATCCTGAGAATACATGTAGTTAAAAAGTAGGTGTAGGGACTCCCCTGGTGGCGCAGTGGTTAAGAATCCACCTGCCAGTGCAGGGGACACGGGTTTGATCCCTGGTCCAGGAAGATCCTACATACCACGGAGCAACTAAGCCCATGTGCTACAACTACTGAGCCTGCACTCTAGAGCCCGTGCTCCACAAACAAGAGCAGCCACCACAATGAGAAGCCCGTGCATTGCAACGAAGAGTAGCCCCTGCTTGACACAACTAGAGAAAGCCAGCTCGCAGCAATGGAGACCCAACGCAACCAAAAATAAAAGAAAAAAATAAAAAATTAAAAAAAAAGGTATAGGACTTCCCTGGCAGTCCAGTGGTTAAGACTCTGTGCTTCCACTGCAGGGGTCGCGGGTTTGATCCCTGGTTGGGGAGCTAGGATTCCACATGCCGCACAGAGCAGCACACACACACAAATAAAGTAGGTGCAAGCCCAGCAAGCACAGAATGTATTTGGACATACCTAGGTGTCCAGTTTGACTCGGGGTGAGAATTTTTTTCCCAAGCAATTGATGAAAATATTCTCGGAACCCTCTAATTTGTTATATATTTTGGCCAGTCTGTGATTTATTTACTCTATGCAAAAAATGTGCTAAGTATTGTGAGAAATTAGACATAGCTTTTACGTTAAAGGCTCTTATAATTGGAAAAATAAGATGTGTGGAAATAATTGTTGTAATAACACAGCTCTCAGATTCACATGCTGGGACCTTCTAGTAAGGATCTAAGAATGGGGGAGATCAGGATCAAGCAGGGGGTGCTGGGATGAAGCCCCATCATTGAGTCCAAAGAACATAATTTTGGGGTTGATCTCTGAAGATCCCAAAGTGAGGGGTCAGGACATGGTTGCAGGATTTCTTATCAGTGCAGATACTGGCCAACAAGTAGAAAGGAGAGAATCATATAAGTCAGTGTAAGCAATACTGCAAGAAATGATAGTTTGAAACTGTGTAAGGGGTCAGAGCTTCGGCTGAGAAATATGCTCCAGGGGCAGGCTGCAACCCTGGCAGGAAACTGGAGTGAGAACCAGGGACCTAGGCCAGAAGTCTTTGTCTAGACTGCACATTGGAGGAGTAAACAGGAAGACTCAATTCAGTGTTCCTGCAGACATCCAAGACTGTTCACACAAGGCCGAGGGCAGAAGACACATCCCTATTGGAGGAAAAGGAACAGAAATTGTGCCAGGCAAGGTCCTCATTAGTTTGGGGCTGGTGGGGCAAAGTCTGCATGTAGCAGGCTCTCAGTGCCTACAAATGTCCAGGATGGGCTGGAACAAGCAGGAAGAAGTTCATGTAAGAATGGGACTTTTGCATAAGAGAGGTATAGATCCAATTTGACTGGAGTTAACAAGAGAGATGGGGGAATCAAAAAGAGTTTCACGGAGGAGTGAAAATTTGAAAAGAGCTTGAGAGATCAATGCTAAGTTTGAAAAATGAAACTTACCGGTCTGAGTTAACAAGGTCACATCTGGAGCCCTTCTTATGATTAAAATTATGTAGCAATTCATCAAAATTGTGGCCTAGTGACAGAGTTAAATTATTTTCATTATTTGTATGTAATTGAATCGTAGAATTTTTCAAAAACCTGAAACTGAGCAGGATCCCATGGGGCCCTCCTGGGTATAAATCCTCTCTGTGTTCCCCATTTCTTGTTGGAAATAGGCTTCAGCCCCCTAGACTTTCCCTGAGTTCCAAAGGGCAGATTCAAACAATTGCTAATCATGGAAGTGAAGGGATGCAGAAACAAAGGAGGAGCAGTCAAGAAACAATAGTACATGATGGGGCAAGGTCGTGGTTCCTCCCAAACGAATATACCTAACAATATCTTTGAGTTCTGCAGCAACTAAGGCCCCCACCCAGGTGGAGGATGGTAACTTCAGGCTGAGCACAAGATTCCTGGAACACCGCCTTGTTACCTCACCACTAACCAATCAGAAGAAAGTCACACACACCCTGCAGCCCTCACCTCAAATTTTGCCTATAAAAACTCCTCCCTGAAAACCACTGGAGGCGTTTAGGTTTTGGGGGCCTGAGCCAACCATTCTCCTTGCTTGGCCCTGCAATAAACTTTTCTCTGCTCCAAACTCAGTTTGGACAGTTTGTTTGGCCTCACTGTGTAACACAAACTTCTGTTTGGTAACAATTTCTGAATATGTACTCTTTTATTCTAGTGACTTTTTTTTCCTGGTATAGAGACAGGAAGGAAGGGGGCAGGACACAACAGTTAAAAGAACGACACAGCTGCTGAGAATATGACAAAAACTGGTTAGAACCAACTAGGTCCAAGATGGCAGATTTGACTTCCAGTAGACCTTGAGACTCATTATAAGTTCACTGTAATATATTAGCATGGTAAATGACTCACCCACAGGTGCCATGACAGTTCCAAGGCTGACCATAAAAGGCCAAAAAGTGGGCGGTGGCCCAATTGCTGGAAATCCCTGCCCCCTCCCCAAAATAGTTAAAATAATCCTCCCACTCGTTACTGTATGAAATTACCCAGCTCATAAAAACTAACAACCCCATACCCCAGGGCCCACTCTCACCTTCTGAGAGGGACCACATTCTGCCTATGGAATGTGTATCTCTCTAAATAAACTTGCTTTCACTTTACTCTGGCTCGCTCTTGAATTCTTTCCTATGTGAAGTCAAGCACACCCTCACTTGGTGGCCCATCCCAGGAACTCACCTGAGACCTGGGAAATGACCATTCTCTCGCTCCCCCTTCTCCTGTAATAGTATCTTACTATAAAAATATCAAACATACACAAAAGTTATTTTACAATGAATACTACATCCACCACCTAGATTCTACAACTGCCACCTTATATATATATATATATATATATTTTTTTTTTTTTTTTCCTTTTGGCTGCGTTGTGTCTTTGTTGCGGAGCACGGGCTGTAGGCACATGGGCTTCAGTAGTTGTGGCAC